ACAAAATGGGTTGCTTCACAAGGTAAAGGTTCACATATACTTTAATCCTCTACCTGTTATTCTGTTCATTGTAATTTAACTCTTTCATATCCTCTTCACATTAAACTTTTTACAGTTTGTTCTCTAGAACTGTAAATAAAGTAGAACTAAAGACAAAACATTTTTGTGGAGATTTCCATTTATTTTCTGTCCCATAGCCAAACAGGAAGTGAGAGGAAATGCCTGCAAATTAGGGAAATTCCTTGGGGACCCCCATGTTATCAGAATTAGTGTCCCCATTGGAAAATTTAGCCTCTGTTGCTTTTCACTTTCAATGATAATGGTAAATAAGACAAATAGAGAGGTTGAATCTCCCTAATGGGGACACAGACAGCAATAAAAACTGACAAGCATTCTAATCCCTCTCCACTCTATCCGAAAAAAAAAAAGTTTGGACTTTAGTTATACTTTGTCTTTAACGCAAAAATCACATTCAAAGTATATTGTATAAAATACACTTTACATTACACCAGCGTTTCGCAACCTTTTTCAGTCAAGGCACCCTTTAAAATTATGGACAGTCTCAAGGCACCCCATTCTAAAATGTAAAAAGCTATTCTAATAGTTTTACCTAATGCAGCAACACCCACACATGTAGGACATCCAATGTTAGAGGGATTTATTCCAAAGCAAATACACTTTTGCACACTGATACTGAATAGTATTCCAATGTTTCTCCCTCAGTTTCTCTCTATCACTCAGCTAATTTGACCCCATTACTGACAGAGAGGGACAGGCGAGGGTCAAACTATGATGCCATGCAGGCAGCCGACACCCTCCATATTGACTGATGGCGCCATTGGTTGTCAGGATGCCTGCGGCTAGAAGGTTGCAATGGTGCACAATGAAAATCTGTGGCTTTGTGTAACTAAAAGGCATGCTTGATCCATCTACGGGCTTGTATACAATTTTTGGGCAATTTAGGCAATTTTAGGCATTTTGCCAAGGCACCCCAGGGTGCCTGGGCACCCTGGCTGGAAAAGGCTGCATTACATTAATTTATATTACATTATACCTGAATAATGTCATAATAATCTTCTATACACTGTAACGAATGTTGTATACCTCTTATACACTGTGCTAAACTCGACATACTGCACACTGTAGATTAAACTTTTAGCCTGGGTTCACGTATATGCAGTGCGGTATATCACATGTGATTCACACAGGAACCGCACCGCATTTCTGTGCAAATCACATGCTATTTGTGTGCGGTGCGATTGGAGCCCTACATTTTGTATGGCTCTAATCGCACCGCACCTGCACCAAATAGGTGCAGGACCCTTTTTTTGGTCTGCCCTAGAAACGGATCACATGGGTATTCACACCTATGCGATCCGATTCTGCACATCACACCATGTTTTGCGGACCGCTTTCGGGGTGTTGTTAACTTAACATACACACCCGCACCAGTTCGTATGAACATTCTGATGCGGTGCGGAATTCACACAGAAAACGCTGTGAATTCTGCACCGTGTCAGTGTGAACCAGGGCTCAATGATGTTCTGCTTCTAACTTCAGGTAAGCTTTGACAATAAAACCTGGAAGCTGATTGATTTCTATGCAAAGCTGCAACAGATTTTGCACTTTCCAATTTTAGTAAATCAATCGTTATATATCCTGCAGTGCCTCACTGTACTGTGCTAAATATTGCTCAAATGTAAATAATCTGCTGTGTTTACTCCACACTCCTTTATACATTGTGCTGTACAAGTTATTGTCAAATCAGTAGGCCCATAGCTGAATCGGAAAACCACTCTTGGCCATAAGGGGTAAGAAACCACTAGCAATGAAATGTTAAATAGTTTCGACCTCCATAAAATATCAATAATTTTATTTTGTTAATTTTTTTTAATAATCTATGAGTCAAATCTACAAATACTTTTTTTTTAATTTGCAAGAACAAGTTATCTTACAAGTTGTTATAGAAAGAGGAGACCAGACAATGAGATTCCCTGTTAGCGGTTTTCATACAGCACAAAGTGTGCTCGCTTTACCAGTCCTCTCCCAGGCGCTGCTTTCCCCTCAATGAATCATCCACTGAGTCATCCAGTGTCATATACTGTATACTGTCTGATCCATCTATGTCTTTATATGGATCTCCTAAATAGCAGCACTGGATTCCCTAATGACAGAGCCTGTGAAGACCTGCCTGGAATTATCGGTTATTCTCATTTCTCTACAAAGGAGAGTTATATCTAGGCAACATATACTGATGGGTCCACAGTGAACGTCAATGTAGTTAAATGGAATTTATCGGCAACAAAGTTCAATCAGACTTGTAGCAGTTCAATAGTTAAAGTACTATGTCTCTCCAATATATTTAACAAAATTCTATTAAAGTATATAGAAACCTAATGAGTAAAATCTCATATACACTTTTACATGTTTTTTTTACTTCAAAGTCGTTTTTGATAATTGTAAATCACCTGGTTTTATTATAATACATAGTGATCGTGCCATGAAGGTTCCTGCACAGGCATGCCCTGTTATATGCTACTCTCTTTATAAATTGTTGTCACCTTGTCACAAGAGTTTCCAATGGAGACATCAAGTGGCCATTTCAACAAACATTTTTGCAGGGGTGTTTCATTTTTGTCACCATCAGGAACAAAGATTAGATAATAGACACATTAGATAGAATAGAAACAATTGTTATTAAAAGTAGGTAAGGAACACATTAAACAGAATATTTTTAATTTGTCAGGTTGCTTTAACTGACATTGCATGCAGATCGAAGCTCATCCTTTTGGTTTAAAAATAAATAAATAATAATAATCATACCTAGATGGCTGCAGCATTGATCTGATGCTGCAACTGTCCCCTCTCTGCTCTAAGCCCGAAAACAGAGCAATCACATGACCACTGATCACATGACTGTTGATTGGTCAGTTCTCAGTAACTGTCAGTCACTGGCTCTCTGCTCTGCCCTCCAGAGTTCACTGGAGCGCCGGGCTGTGGAGGGGACTGGAGCAGCTGGCTCAGGCTCTCAGTGACATGCTGAGAGGTTGATCGAGCTGCAGTCAGGAATCTGGGCAGAGCCCAACATTATTCTAAGAATCCTTGCATAGTCTAGACCGTCTCTGTGATGTCAACTGAGCTTTGGCCAAACTTCTCCTTTAAATCTCCAGAAGGAGGAAGTGGAGAGAGAGGAGCTAACACCACATGTCTACATACAGAAGCTTCAATACTGCAATACTGTATTTTATCCAGACCAGAAGCAGAGACTATTAGGTAATTATTCCTATGTTCTGGTTGTTTAACTGTAGCTCTCCATAACTTCTTTATCTGAATCCTAGTGACAGACAAGTGTCTGTTCTTTTGTAACTATCTCAAATGCACAGTGCCGGGTAGGTAGATCTGTACTACTGTATGCAGTTGTAACCTTCCAGAATATTAGTGGGTTAACCTGTTTATTAGGGATGCACCGATATAATGGCGGCTGAAATGTATCGGCCAAAAATAGTGTCATCTGCATTTTGCCAATAGGAAAAAAGGTGTTGATAATAGCTGCTAAAAATGTGCAATTCTGGTGCAATTTTACCCATGATTTTGCCATGGTTTTACCTGTGAATTCGCAGCGATTTTGCCATGATTTTGCCGTTATTTTATCATGTTTAGGGTGCATTTTCCATAGGTAATATGATTTAAAAACGCATCAAAACGCAACCATGTGTGCATTTTTGATGGGTTTTCAATGCATTTCAGCCTGGTTCACAGCAATGCAGTGTGAGTTTAGTTCGTTTTGCAATACATTTTTTTTAGTTTTTGCATGTGAGTATTTGATGCATTTTGTGTGTTTTTTTTTTATTTCTTTTGGCCAGCTTGTTGCCGAGTAATTAAAAATGCACAATGCATCAAAAACACGGCAAATGCGTGAAAACGCATCAAAAACACACTACATACATTTTCTGCAGCATCTCCATTGAAGTCTACTGAACCAAAAACACAACATTTTGCGTTTAAAAGAGTCCCTGACCCTTTCCAAAAACTCAGCAGCTCAAAAAAGCATGGATGTGAATGTGTCCCATAGGAAACCATGTTAAATGGACTGTAGTGCATTTCTGCAAAAAGCCCTAAAAAACACATTGGTGTGACCCAAACCTCAATGGGGAGGTGCATTTTTGATGCTTTTTTTACTTGCCAAATATGCACCAAAAATGTGGCAAGCAGGATTTGTAACATCGCAATGGAAGCGAAACGGACCAGTGTGAAGATATACATTGAATTTAAAGGGATGCATTTTTCTTGATTTTTTCATGTGGCAAAAACTGCTCAGTGTGAAAGCAGTCTATTGGCAAAAGTGCTAAAAATAAATTAATATTCATTTAAATTTATTATATTAATTTAACCACTTCCAGTCCGGACACTTTCACCCCCTTCTAGTCCAGGCCAATTTTCAGCTTTCAGCACTATCACACTTTGAATGACAATTGCGCGGTCATGCAACACTGTACTCAAATGAAATTTTCAGCATTTTTTTGAGACAGATAAAACTTTATTTTGGTGGTATTTATTCACCACTGGGATTTTTATTTTTTTTGCTATATAAATGAAAAAGACCAAACATTTTGTTAAAAAAGTGTTTTTTCTTATACAATTTTGCAAATAAATAATCATTCTTCATAGATCTTGGCCAAAATGTATTCAGCTATCTTTCTGGTAAAAATAAAAAATAAATAAATAACCTAAATCAGTTTATAAAAAAAATTATAATTTTTTAAAACATTTTTTTACACTTTTTTAATTATTTTTTGTTTAGATTATTAATATTATTATTATTATGCATTTTTTCCCCATACTCTCACCCTAACAGTACTGTCACCATAGTGACACTGTACTATTTGTGGGGAGTGATGAAGATTTTTTTTTTTTTTATACTGATTGCTTTTACACCCTTAAAGGCTGTAAAAGCAATAATTTCTCCTCCTCTCTGGCTGCCTTCCTGCAGCCATTAAGAAATACTGTGAAAGCTGTGATTGGTCACCGCTTGTCACATGGTACAAGTATATTGGCCCTAGTATGTGTATGTATAAATGTAAGTTAGGGACCTTAGATTGTACGCCCCTTGATCCCTTTAACCAGTAGTACACAACATAGATAGGAGGAGGAGGGAAGGAGCGGTTTTAAGCAGACTAAGGGTTCATGTACACTGCAGCTGCTAAACTGACATTTAGGAGAAGTTGAACGTTTTTTTCAGCAGCCCCTGAACTCTTCTTTATGTTTTCCTATGTGTCCATGTACACTATGTCATTTACAGGCAGTTGAGTTTACAGGCATTTTCTTGAAAGCACAAAAATCACATTCAGGAGTAGTGTTTACCAGTGTTTCAAACGCGTTTATGCGCATCTGCGCTTAGACATGTTTTTTGGCTGGTCCATATCCAGATACTGTCCAGAGCCTTTTTTCTTCACCAAAAATGCATGCACAGTGTTTTCCATGCATTCAAATGGACCTAGTACACCAGTGCAATCAGTTCCAGGAAAAAATGGTAGAACCTGCCACATTATGCTCATGATGGGACCTTCTTGGCATTCGGAAGGTCTCCTGAGGTTATCTTTTAAAAACACTCTGAATGCAAACGTGCATAAACGCGGCTAAACGCACATAAACGCGGTAGGTAAATGCAGCTTAACTGACGTTTTTAACCTATGTTTTCTAGCAGTCAGTTTCCAGCGGTCAGAAGAGTTTTTTAAATGCCCTGTGTACATGAGCCCTTATATGTAGCCTTTACTTCCACTTTAGGTCACCCTGATCAGAGTAAGGATCCCTTCTGCATCCCCAAAGATTGAAAGTCCAGCAAGTGACACCCAACAGGTCAGCATTTAAATGACAATACATTTGAAAAAAAGGTATTTCAATATGTATTTGTAACTGAGAAAATGCCTTCTATTGCTTTCAGCCTCGTCCAATCTCCAAATTCCTTTTTTTGCTGCTGTGATCTGACTTACAGGGTAACTGTAATTGTTTTCCATGGTCCCACTAAATTTAGTCACTGTGACGGAACGCCTGTCACCCAGATTGGGCGCTTCCATCAGAGAACCGCTTCCTCGCCACTAAGACACAGAACCAAGGCATTATAGCTGGGCATTGTGCCCAAGACTAGTTGAGACTAGCTTAGATGCCAAACTGGAACTCTTTATTGAACAGAAATACAGTTTTTATACACTCCAGAAATAGGGCAGTGCCCCCACATGGTCAAACAAATAAACAAATATTACACATTGAGATAAACATCCCACACTGATTAGGTAAGAGCTTGATCACAACAACACAGCCAACCATTAACAGTGATCTAATAGTAATTTAATCAACAGCCAGGCACTTGGTCAATGCTTTGATTTCTCAGGGAGCCCACCGCAGCCAGGACAGAAGTGCTTGTCAGAGAGTACATTCTTCAATGTATACAAGGAAGCACCTGGTACAAAAGCTCATTCAACTTGAAAGACTTTTTTGAAGCATGTAATGGTTAAGAGCATTACATACATCCAATGTGTTTCAGTAGAAAAAGCATCTGCCTTCTTCAGCACTTGAGCAGTTCATAGAAATTGGGGGGGGGGGGGGTGGCATGGGAATAGTAAAATATGCAGATTTAACTTCAGCTTTAAATAGTAAAATGCCTTTTGCATCAAGTAGACAGTCCAAACAACAGTTGCTTTATAAAGTCATTAAATTAGGAAGAGACGTGTTTTTTTCTACTCATAACCAATAATGGTTTGAATCCTGTTCAGCGCACACCAGCACCAAGTTTTAGCTAACAATTAATACATAGCAAAAATTATGCTAATCGGTAATAATAATAATCGGGGGATCAGGAAGGAATTTTTTTCCCTGCAGGAGCAAGTTGGATCATGCTTTGCTGTTTTTTTTTTGCCTTCCTCTGGATCAACTGTGGGTATAGGAATATAACTTTTGTTTTTTTTAATGGTTGAACTGGATAGACTTTTGTTTTTTTTTTCAGCCAGACTATGTAACTATGTAATACAAAAACAATTAGGGCCAAAGCACACACTTCTGCAATACACATTTGCAGCGCACCACAAGACCTAGAAATGCACTCCGTGTGCTGTGGTGAACTGCGTTGGCAAAAATAGTGCATTGGATAATGGTGTTTTTTTGACAATTTGGAACATTGCCAGCCCATTTGTTTGACTCATATAATGCAACATTTGTTAATATACAAAAAAACGCGTGCTAACGCACCAGAACTCCAAGGTTTAAATGAGTCCCAACACTGACATAAAGTATGTTACTAATCTAGTATTTCTAGGCGCTAGAGCCAGATGGTTATACTCATTAAAACATAACATATACTGAACACATTGGCAGGCACAGCGTCTGAGGATATGTATTCATTTGCTTTTTGGCTGATTCCATCCCGCTGCCTTCTCTGGCTGTTTCTGCACAGTGGCCCACACATAATACTGCAGACTGTTTGTCTAGCCAAAGCTTTAATTTGTCACCCTGTTGCTATTAGCCTAGCTTTGTCATCAAGACAACACTGAAGTCATGCAGAAGATAAAGGGCTCAGATGGCATGTGAAAAAAACAATGTTGGCCCTACACAGAGTCTTGATGCAGATAAACAGGCCAAAAAGTGTAACTAAAGCCCCATACACACAATGGAAATATTGGACAAATGGTCGTCCATTTTTTTTTTTTTTTTTTTTGCATGCTAGTCTCATATCGAAAGTGAGTAGGTTACTAAAGTTACAAAAATTCTTGTATGACAGAATAAAAATTCAGAAGTGATGTAATGTACACTATATTGCCAAAAGTATTGAGATGCCTGCCTGTACACGCAAATGAACTTTAATGGCATCCCAGTCTTAGTCTTAGTCCGTAGGGTTCAATATTGAGTTGGCCCACCCTTTGTAGCTATAACAGTTTCAACTCTACCGGGAAGGCTGCCCATAAGATTTAGGAGTGTGTCTATGGGAATGTTTGACCATTCTTTCAGAAGCACATTTGTGAGGTCTGGCTCTGATGTCGGACGAGAAGGCCTGGCTCTCAGTCTCCGCTCTAATTCATCCCAAAGGTGCTCCATCGAGTTGAAGTCAGGACTCTGTGCAGGCCAGTCAAATTCCTCCACCCCAAACCTGCTCATCCCTTGTCTTTATGGACCTTGCTTTGTGCACTGGTGTGCAGTCATGTTGGAACAGGAAGGGGCCATCCCCAAACTGTTCCCACAAAGTTGGGAGCATGAAATTTTCCAGAATGTCTTGGTATAATGACATCTTAAGAGTTCCCTTCACTGGAACTAAGGGGCCAAGTCCAACCCCTGAAAAACAACCCCACACCATAATTCCCCCTCCACCAAACTTTACACTTTGCACAATGCAATCAGGCAAATACCGTTCTCCTGGCAGCAGCCAAACCCAGACATGTCCATCTCAAGAAAGAGAAGCATGATTCGTCACTCCAGAGAACACGTCTCCACTGCTCTAGAGTCCAGTGCTGGCGTGCTTTACACCATTGAATCAACGCTTTGCATTGCACTTGGTGATGTAAGGCTTGGATGCAGTTGCTTGGCCATGGAAACCAATTCCATGAAGCTCTCTAATCACTGTTGTTGTGCTAATCTGAAGGCCACACATTGGAGGTCTTTAGCTATTGACTCTGCAGACAGTTGCCGGCTTCAGCAAGAGCTGACTCTGCTCTGTCATTTTGCGTGGCCTACCACTTCATGGCCGAGTTGCAGTTGTTCCCAGTTGCTGCCACTTTGTTATAATACCACTAACAGTTGACCGTGGAATATTTAGTAGCAAGGAAATGTCATAGATGGACTTATTGCACTGGTGGCAACCTATCATGGTACCACTCTTGAATTCACTGAGCTCCTGAGAGTGACCCATTCTTTCACAAATGTTTGTAGAAGCAGTCTGCATGCCTAGGTGCTTGATTTTATACTCCTGTGGCCATGTAGGTGATTGGAATGCCTGAATACAATGATTTGGAGGGGTATCCATAGACTTTTGGCAATATAGTGTACATTGCTCTGCATTATTGCAGAGTTGACCTGCATATGTTTTTTTTTTAATATGTTGCTCAGATATACAGTACAAGTTAACCATTCTCAATCTAGTGACTACTTTCTTAAAGTGGAAGTCATAACAAAACCAATCTAAGCTTAAATCCACTCCAACCCCCATTCTAAACCTATTCTTTCCACCCTGTAAAAATTTGGAGGGGTGTCACAATACTTTTGACAATATAGTGTATTTGTATTGTATTTTTGGCCCAAAACTGTACTGATTAAATGAAAATCATACAATCTCGTATCATACAAGAACATTTTTCCTGCTTGTCCCTTCAAATAATTTCAGGCAAAAGCTGTGTACTAATTATCAGATTATCGTAAGATCACTTCGAAAGTAGTATTTTTTTGTATGACTTTCTGATCGTGTGAACTAGGCATTACACACTATTCCAATAAGTTGTCCCTCACCAACTTGAGTGGGAACAGTGAGATGAATAACTTAGGGCATGTGTTGACAAGGTTTGTCTATGAACACTGTAGCGCTGCTAAAGTGCAGGAGTGTTAATACAAAATGGGGCAGGGGCAGCACTTGACCTACTTTGTTTTCATCACAAACAAAACTCAGTAGGACCTGCTGTGTCTGAAGAAACACAAAGCACAACACAGTTAGGGCTCATTCAAGCAAGCAGCTGGGGGCATTAAAATAAAGCAGCTGAGCTACAGTTTTTTAGGGGCCCAAGATTGCCCAGGACATGCAGTCGCTCAGGACTGTACACATGCCTTGACTGCGATACCTTGCTTCACAACCACATATTATATGGCATGTTGCTGTCTGCTGGCAGCACCACCGCTGAACACCACCCATTCGTCTGAAAGGGGCTGAGCTGCAACTATGTGCAATGCATGTGGCTGTGTGGCATTTTGAGGGTTAAAACAGATAGTGAGAAAGCATCATATTGCCTCTCATTGCCTATAAAATGGATCACTTTTCAAAGGGTACGCTGCATTGGCTGTGTGTGTGAATGAGCCCTTAAAGCACCTTTGACGCAACAAGGAAAGCAATTGATCTACTTTGCCTTCAACAATAACAGAGATCTATAGAACCTGTTGCATGCGAAGAAAAGTGTTGCATGCGAAGCAGGTCGATGCAGTCTCAGGATGGTCATCCAAATTACACAATAAACCTGGGCTCACACTGGATTCAACTTTGAAAATGAAATCGCATGATTTCAAATTTGCATGTCAGTGCGACTTGGTAGACATCTGTGTGACTTTATGCACAGATGTTTATGCAAGTTGCACCTGTGATCACAAAAAATGATGCAGGAACTATGTTCAACTACTACTTTTTATTCTGTCAGAGTCGCGCAGATTTGAACAGTTCAATTGCTGACAATAGGATGTCATGCAATTTGAAACTGTCAAATCGCATGACGAGTCGCAGTGGTGGCTTTGAGTTAATGCATACAGGTGTCTTTGCCCATAGAGGGGACAATTCACAAAGGGTCATGTTGCCGCATCCAAGTATGTGGTAAGATACAGCACAGCATTTTTTTTTTTTAAACATTGGCATTCACTAAAAAACACTACTATTATACCGCATGAGTTATTTTATTAAGTCATGCATATTTTAGTAGTGAAAACGTGGTAATGTAGAGTCATCAGTTGCCAGCCATACCCAGTTGGCCCTGCCCTTTAGTTATTTAAGAACGGTCAGGCTGCAGAGCTGTCGGATGGCGGGAACTTTCGTCAGGAGTGGAGCCTTTTTTTTTTTTCAGTAGTGGCAGCGGGCATTGTAATTAACAATGGATCTACATCTGGGGGACATTTTTTGTATTTTTGCTCTTTTAAAACAGGACTTGTCAAAAATTGCCACGTGTGGTTTTTTACACTAGACTTTTTTTGGTGAATGAGTAGGGGTAACAGGTGTTTCTAGATTCTGATAAGCCCCCCCACCCACAGACTCTCACAACCACCTACCAGGGTTGTGGGTAAGAGGACCTTGTCCCCATCAACATGGGGACATGGTGCTTTGGGGAGTAGAGCCCCCCCCCACCCCAAAGCACCCCCCCATGTTGAGGGCATGAGGCCTGGTATGGTTCGGGGGGGGGCACTCGTTTGTCCCCCCTTTCCTGATCTGCCAGACTGCATGCATGAATTTTTGCCATTTTTAATTTTTTTTTTTATTTTGAGGGCTCCCCTCAAAATCCATACCAGACCTGAAGTACTAGGTATTTGTTTTTTTTTGTTTCATTTTTAACTGCTGGCAATTCTTTTTTTTACATTCGGCTGTCATATGAGTGTCAGATGCTGAAGGTTCTGCCTGGTCTGCAACAGAGGGAAGATTCGAGTCACAGGTTGCTGGACAGGTAATTGTCCATACAGTTCTTTTGCAAGGTGTTTTTTTTAGGCTATAGAGTCACTTTGCTATTTAAGTGTGGTTCATTGTTCAAGTAATTTCTCTGTTTCTTCATTAGTTTCCTCTGGTATACTTTCTAGTTATCTTCCTGATTCTTTCTGTACTTCTGTATCCGCAAACCTGCACTAACTTTCCCCTTATGCTCTCAGGTGAGCTGTGCACCTAGAGCACTGGTCTCCAAACTGTGGTCCGAGGGCAAGATGCTGCCATTTGCTTGCCTTTATCAGCCCCTGGGGCACTATCCTCCCCACTAACACCAAGGAGGCACTATTCCTTCCACTGACACCAACAATGGGGCATTGTTATTTCCATTGATACCAAAAATATGGCACTATCCTGCTTTCTGACACCAATAATGGGGCACTATTCCTCCCCCTGACACCAATGATGGGACACCATTCCTATCATTGAAACCACTATTTCTCCCCCCAATCCAAAATATGGAATATTACTTACTCCTACTGATCTCAGGACGTTTTCTACTTCCACTGGCCTCACTCTGGCCCCCCTAAAGTATGAAGGACAGTAAACTTGGTTTTGAGGGACATGTATACACACATATGCAACTCAGCAGATGTTTTTTTAGTCAGACTTCCCCTTTTAAGAGCACATTGTTCCACTTTTATTTTCCCCCTGTAGCGTTTGTGATTGTGGGGTGATTCTGCTGTTTCTGGGATTGTGTGGGAAAGTTGACCTCACCTGTCCCGAGCTAACATGAACCATTTTACCTCCCCTGGCCTTGCTTTGATTCCAGTCTACATTTGCTCTGTGTAGTTACCTCTTGCACTACTCTTCATCTATACACTCAACCACGCTTTCATCTTATCTTTGTGCACAGTGTACGCCCTATTGGTTCCACTTTGTTAGTTTATTAACTATAGTACCTTCCATGAAGCCTCTGGCTCAGACCACTGTTCTGTCCACTCTCTCTGGTTTGCTTGTCCACCTTCATAGCTTGCTCCCATTCTGTCACTGTTTTTTAAATCTCCAGCAAAAGTCCCTGCAGGTAGCTGACTACCAGTGTACACATATAAAGCATTCTCAGAAGGTTGCTAGTAAAACAAAGAATAGGGCAACCCAGTGGCGCACAGGCTTCAGACACTCCTTGAAGTGTCAACTGCCAAGGAGACTGATGAAGGCTCAAGTGCTAAAACAGAAGAAAGGAGGAGACATGAGCCACCAAGGAGATGAGTACAATAGTCATTCTGCTGAGGAAAAGTGCCATAAGGATTTATTTCAAGGGAATTATCAGGTTAACACCCAAACTAAAGTTACTCGTTGGTGCCAAGGATAGTTAAAAGAACAAAATATGACATGGGGGTGCACTTCAGGTCTGGTATTAGTTTTAAGAGGGAACCCAGACAAAGAAAAACAAAAAAAATGGCAAGGGGTCCCTTTTGGTTTGGCATTGATTTAAAGAGAAAACCCCACGCAAAGATCAGGAATACAACATGGGGTCTCCCACAAAAATCCATACCAGACCTTTATCTGACAATGCAGCCTGGCAAGTGAGGAATGACAAGCGTGCAAAAAGATATCAATCATGATGGTACCCAAAAAGTCATCCACCAGACCCATCTTTTAGTGGGAGTGAAATGACAGGATCAGACGTGCAATCATTGGTAATTTTTTTTTCTTTTTGGTGGGTCAGCAGGCATCAGGTATTATGATTGATCTGGATCTACATCGCTGGATGAATTTGATGTGACTTGAGAGGCAGAGACCATAAAGTCACATCAAGGTCACACTACATGAACAAAACTGTCATAATTTCCTATTAGCAAAAAAAACCCCATAAAATGAAAAACACATAAAAAACGTAACACTTGCTTTTTTGGGGTGGGTCCATTGAAGTCTATTATATGAAAAAATGCAATCTGCTGCAGGAAAAAAGCCCCTGACCCTTTCCAAAAAACACATTGGCTCAAGACTAACAGATATGAAATAGATCCATAGGAAACCACGTTAAATGGATTGTAGTGCATTTATGCAAAATGTACTAAAAAACGCATAGGTGTAAACCAAAGGTAAAAAAGACTTCTATATTCTGAAGAGCTCCCCTGGCCGCAGACCCCCACAACCACTGGGCCAGGGTTGTGGGGAGGAGGCCCTTGTGCTCATCCATATGGTAAGGTATCTGTCATATTGATGAAATGGTTCAGAAAGGGGGGCACACTTGCCCCTCCTTCTCTTTCCTGGACAGCCAGGATGCATGTTTAGATAAGGGCTTGGAGTGGATGTTTGGGAGGAACCTTTTTTTTTCTTATTTTTTGTGTGGGGTTCCACCTTAAAATTCATACCAGTCCTGAGAGGCCTAGTATGATTTTTGGGGAAGTGGAATTCCATGCGTTTCTTCTTTTTTTGGGTGGGGTCCCCAATTAACATCTATATAAGATCATTCTCGAGGATAAGGGCTTGGAATAGCTGAAGAGAATCCCTGGCCTGGAAACTCTCTTTTTGCTAGCAAGTTAAACACACTTTTTTTCTTT